TCTTGGCCCAAGTCTTCGTCACTCCTAGATGACCTCCTACAGGTAATGTGTGTGCTACCCACAATACTTCCTGTCTGTATGCTACCGGCAACACAATCTGGTCAACATCTGCCATTTCTCATCTAAACTAACCTGCTAAGGTCTCCATTTCCACCTTAAGATTTTATCCTTAAGGTAACAACAATCTGAAATACATTGATTCCTTTTCAGAGTAGGTTTTCTGATATATATCGGTTATCGTCTCATCTTTTTGTTGTACCTCCATTAATCTTTCAGAACTAAACATCTCTGCCTGATCCTCTATCTACTTCGGTTTTTCCCTGTACCATTTCATCAGAGTGTCAGCTAATGGACCTCAACTCCTTCATCTTTCTCTTTTGTTTTCCTTTCTTGATTTAACTTAGGCTGTGGGATCTTGTCACTACACCGTCCAGAAAAATTTCAGGATATTTCCTTTTAACTTCTCAGTATCCTGGTTTTATTTTGGCTTCTCCAATACAATGGACATCACTCCAACCTGTGATCCAGCTGTATTGTTTCCAAGAATAAACTGTATTCCTGGAATAGCCATTTTTTCAATCGCTCCCACTATCACTTGCCCAGTCTTGATTGGACTTTCTAGCCTTATCTTACACAGGGGAACACTAATCCCATCTCAACTTATTCAGAGATCTCACAGTTGGATTATGTACCTGAGGTGAGAGAAAGATTAAACAGGAGTGGGTGAATTAGCTGGACAACATTTGAAGGTGGCACAGAACATAATGAAGCAAGAAGCAGATAAGAAATCTAAAATTCGAACATCACTCTCTCAGGGAATATTTCAGAAGGAGTGCAAATATTTTCATCTCTTACTATTAGAGATTGACCAGCTCCATTATCTCTCAATATTTTAACTTCTTTATCTATTCCCCCTATTCTACCTAAGTAAACCATACCCACATAGGTGATATCTTTGAAAAGATTAGGTACTATCTTACTGTCCAGCCTGTGATTAGGCTGTGCACTCTCCTGCAGCTCCTTGACTTCTCTTGGGATTTCTTTCACTACCTCGACTAATCCCACTGGTTTAGCGCCTTTTACCACATCTTTTTTCACAGTGCCTTTCCTAAACTACCAGCACTGTGACTGTGTCCCCCACCTTATTGCAGTGAAAACACCTGCGGTCTCTCACCTCTTTTCCACCCTCTTGGGCTTCTTTTATCACGTGGTAAACTGTTCCTAATATGATCTACATTTTGTTTTTCATTGGAGGATCTCCCTCTTTCCCAATTTCTATCCTTCACGGAATGTAATTGCTGTTGGATGCTACATTTCAATCTACGCACTAATGCGTATTCTTCTACCAACTCTGCAGCTGTTCTCGCTGTTTTAACTTTCTGTTCCTCAACATGAGTTCTTATCACTTCTGGAAGTGAGTTTTTAAACTCCTCTAGCTGAATAACATCTAAGTTCCTCATATGTCTTCCATCTTTAATGTTCTCATCCATCTATTGAAATTGCTTTGTTTAATTCATTCAAACTCAATACAAGTCTGACCTGGTTCTTTTCTTATATTTCTGAACCATTGTCTATACACTTGTGGTACCAATTCGTAGGCACTGCACTCAGAATACCCTGTCTTACTTCTTCATATTCGCTTCATACCTCCTCTGACAGCACTGCAAACACCTCACTAGCCCTACTTACCAATTTAGTCTGATTTAAGATTACCCACGTAGACTCTGGCCAGCTCATCTGTTTAGCCAATCTCTCAAAAGGAAATGAAAAAGGTTTCTACATGTTTTTCATCAAATTTTGATAATATTTTTACATATTTGTATATATATCTCTACCAGGTCTTTGGCTACAATGGGTTTGTTTATCATCACTCCCTCCTCACTATGCCTATCTTCTACCTTCATTTCCATCATTTTAAGTCAGCTATTCTGTCTAATCTGCAACTTCCGAAGTTCAAACTCTGTCTCCTTTTCCCTTCCTTTTCTCTTTTTGTCTTTCCTCTGCTCGTAACCGTTATTCAAACAGTTTCAGTTCCTTTTCCTGTTCAAACTGCTTCATCTGCAATTGAATTCTAGCCATTTCCAAAGATTTTGATGGCCTTTCCAACAAATTTAAATGTCGAGCTATTGCTGTAATTACCTCTTCTTTTCGCACAGCCAAAGGCAACCCCAACTCCAGCTTGTCTGCCAATTCCAGCAGCTTTTCCTTGCTCACCTTTTGTAAAACCCCCAAAGTTATTTCTTCCACCCACAGAAAACTCTTAGTGACTGAAAGAGACGTTACCTCACTTTTGATTTAACTAACAAGGCACAACTAAAATTAAACAGATTTGCCACTTCTCACCTAAGTTTTATTTAAAGATCTAGGACACTAGTCCCCCAAGTCTGTTTAAATCTGCTAGGACCTTTCATTGCCTAAATGTGTCCAAATCCATCCAGATCCAATCTGACCCAACCTGTCCAAATCCGAGACCCAAGCTGGCCAGATACCGGATGAGCACCGAATCTGTTATTAAGCAGAGGTTGATCCCCTCCGAGAACTAAAACTGAAATACCCAAAGAGATGTACCATGCCCTATAATCTGTTAAAAAGGAGTATGAACAGTGGTGTAACCCGCTTTCCAGCGACTTCTAGTGGTTAAGAAAAACAAACCCCTGACACTCACTTCACTATTCATGAACAAAACAAGATTCTAATGGTCTGCCGAATGTTCTGTCGAGGAACTCCTTCTCCGCCAAATTCTTCTGTCAGGAATGTTAACTAGTTGTTCCACACGTACCTGTGATTTAGATGGTGCTTCCTCTCAAACTTAGCGAAAACTGTGAGAGCTTGCGACTCTCTCTCAAGAGCTGAGAGCTGTTAACTCTTGCAGATGGTAGTTCACTCTCCTGTCTTTGCCCAACTGCCCCTTCTTTTATACCCTTGATGATATATCAATTTATTACAATAGGATTGATCCTATGTTGTTAAAACCATCAGGTTTAAATTTAATTGGTTTTTGGTGTCTGGTTTCAATTAACTGGCTAAATTCAAACTTGTTGTCTTGATAAAACAAAACTGTTGCTTGGCCTGCTAATGATGCAGCCTTTTTGATACAAATGTTTCAATTCAAGTGCTCTGTGCACCTGCAAAGCCACAAGCTGCTGCCCACAGACATCCTTTTGAATGTCTAAGCATAGAAAAAACACATCATTATTTAAAGGGACCATGCACTGCCTTCCCCCATAGCATTTTACAAACACCAATATTTTACAAATATCAAATTCTAACATCCTGCCTCCCAGTCCACAAATACTCTATCCAACTTTGCAACACTGCACAAGATACGTGTTCATGATGTTGGGAGACAATATTAATATGGATAGAGGACTATCGAACTAACAAGCAGAGAATCATATTTAGGTTGGCAAACCAACTCGTGGTGTACCAGAAAGATCAGGTCTGGGGCCTCTAATGTTTATTAATGATTTGTATTAAATGACCGAGTGCATTGTAGCCGAGTTCACTGGTATAACAATGTTAGTTAAAAGATAAAGTTCTAAAAACACGTTGTGAGGAGGGTACAAGGAATCAAAGAACCTACACAGGTTGAGTCAGTGGGCAAAAAATTGGAAGATGAAGTAGAAAGTGGAAAAATATCAGGTTCTCAATATTGGCAAGACGAATAGAAAGGCAGGACATTATTTAAATGCAGAGAGAATGCAAAACGTTGCAGTACAAAGTGATCTGAGTGTTAATATAGGTGAATCATAAAATGTAAGCATGCAGGTACAGCAAATAATTAGAAAATGGAATATTGGCCTTTTATGCAAAATGGATGGTGTGAGAAAGTAAGGGAGTATTTCTACATCTATGCAGGGCATTGGTATCTAGAATACGGTGTATGGATGTGGTTTCCTTACTAAGAAGGGATATTACTTGCATTGGAAGAAATTCAGAGAAGGCTTACTTGACTGAAACATAGTATGAAAAGGTTGTCACATGAGACAAGGTTGATCAAAATATACCTTTACTTATTGGAGTTTAGAAGAATGAAAGTTGACCTTATTGAAACATAAGATACCGATAGATTTTATAAATGCAATGGTAAAAGGATGGTGCACCTCGTGGGGCAAATTACAGCTAAAGGGCCTAGTCTAAAAATAAACATCTCCCATTTAATATACGAGATGAAGAAGATCTTCTTCTCTCATTCCTAACTAGTCTACCCCCCCAGATCTTGTCAAAAGTTTTACTGAGTTCCATGGAATTCTCTATTAAAGCACTGGAGGCCATGATTCAAGGCTAAGTTAGACAGATTTTTGATCTACAGGGGAGTCAAGCCTTTGAAAGACAGGCAGGAAAGGGGTTTTAAGGCCAAAGCCAGTTCATTCATGCTTCAAGTGGATAGCAGAGGTGTTTCAATAGACCAAATAGTCTATTAATGCTCCTATTTCGCTTAATCTTTTACACTAATTTATAACTAACTTTGCTCAGCTATATTGTGTCATCCAACAAATTCAATAAATCTTGTAGCATATGGGCTGACGGCAAAGAAATGACTGTGAAACTTGCCAACTGAAATAAAATGCACCAATGTCCTGCAATAACGGACCAATCATTCCTTTCCAATCTGCCCGAACGTGACCAGAGTTTCACATAAATGGCAGTTGATGGTGAAATATTACCTTGTCTATGTAAAGTACATTACAAATATAAATGAACAAATTTAAAAGATTGATATACTCAAATACTTTACTGAATGTCATCAAAATACTATAGAACTACATCAACAACTCACCAGAACAACCAATTTCAAGAATGCACAGTTGAGTCAATTTTAATGAACAGTCTACCTACTGTTGCACCCATACAGACATCCAAATGTGCGAAATACCACGCAATGCTACATTTACATTTTAAAAGAAAATGCTCAAAGTCTCAAGCCCACAGATATTTCATATCAAACTATTAACTGATTGAAGAGATTACACATTTTCAATGTCATTTACTGTACTTACCACTCTGAAGTTTAATTTTATTCTTCTCCTTTTCCTTTGTATTTCTGTATAAAGTACCATTAGGTTTTACTTCTTCCTCTTCTCTCTCAGTATCAGCCTTTCGCTTTTGCAAGTCATTTTGCCTCTTTTTATAAGTTGGTTTAGGTTGACGTTTGACCCTAAGCTCAGATTTATTTTCACTTTCATCTGAAGCATCACTTTCAGATCCAGATTCATACATTCTTTTTGTTCCTCTTCTTGTTTTTCGTCCTTCCTGCTCGTTTTTTTCTTCCTCAGATTGACCTGTTTTGTCAACATCATTTGATATGGAAGCTGATGAATTAACTATAACTAGCTTTTTGGCATCTTTTCCTGCGTTTTCTGTATTTTCCACTTTATTTGTACTTTTGTCTTCTTCAGAGTGTCTAGTCAACCAGGCTTTTTTAAGTTTTGTATGATAACCTGGTTGGCTAGATTGAGCAATCTGGCCATTGGTTACAAAACTTGTTTTATAAGATACATCTATTTTTCCAGTATTATTAGGAGAGAGAGATGATGCACTTTTTACACATTTAAGGCTTGCAGACTCATTGTTATTAGCAGTAGTACTTGCAGAATGGGCCATAGCCAGTGCTGCCTTATGCTTTTTCAGCTGGTAATAATCAGTTGTACTTGAGGCTCCTGTGTTATTCTGTGTAGTGTTTCCTGTTCTGGCAGCAGCTGTTGAGAAAACTGCAGCAGATGTGGTATTAACTTTACATTCCTGTGTCTGTGTTCCAAAATGAGTTGAAGTTTTGGGAATAACTTGCCCTTCTACACTGTTAGTGATTGTCTTGTAAGAGGAACAATAGGTTATTTTTGTTTCACTGCTACTCAAAATTTCAACTGTTGTGGCAGGAGCTGCGGGGTTGGTCATGCTATTGCACAACGAGTTGCTAGCAACGACAGATTTTGTGCCATTGTCTGAAAGTAAAACTTTGAAGTTTTTCTCATACTCTGCACTTGTAGACTCCAAGTTCACACCAGGTATATTGATTCTCCACACATCTTTGACTTTTGATGAATTAAGGTGCTCTATTGGATTTGATGGCATTAACACACTTCCTCTTAGAGAGTTCTGTGAGTTGGTTTGACTATCTCCTTTATTTTCTTGCTTGGGAATGGAAGATGATCTTACAATAACAGATGCTGGAGCAACTTTGTTGTTGCTTTTCTCTAAGTGGCAAACTGGCTTACCAAGGTTTCCAACACCACTTTTCCAGACATCAAGTGAGGAAACCACAGGATTATGAATGCAAATTTTCCCATCAACCCTTGGCTCTGGGAGTAAAGTTGGAGGTTTCTGGAGTTCAGAAATCTTAGCAGCATTCACAGGTTGTACTGGAGTCAGGGTTGGTGGGGAAAGATTGCGATAATTACCTTCTTTGCGTTCTATAACATGATGAGATGGAGGATGGTAAACAGGAGCCCTATGTAAAGATGGCATACTTTTCAGAGGGTTTGACTGTGAAATTGTTAATTGTTCTCTGGTTCTCCCATGATTATTATTATTTGCAGTCTGAGGCTGAGAAGTCACTTGTTGGGTAAGCTGTTCTGTTGCTTTGCCAACTAAACCCTCACTCTCTGGCTGATGTTTAATAAGTGGAGGTGGTTTGGACAGAGTCTTGTTAGATGAAAGAATAGGTGTTGAAGAATTTGTTTTCTCAGCATAAGGATGTATTATGTCTTTAGACAGATATAGCCTTGGAGGCTCATTTACAACACTATTTGACAAAGTAGTAAAATAGTTGCTCTGAGGCATAGAATGTGCTAGTGAATTTTTTGATGTATAAAGTTCTCTTGCACAATGCTCTGTTTCTCCATCTTGTTTTATGCTCTGGGGTTTTGGACCATCAGTAGGCAAAGATGGTATTCTGGAATAGGAATCTTTTGCAACTTCATTTGTCTTGATTGTAGAAGCAAAACGAGCAACTTCAATACTCTCCTGCAGAATCCGCCGTCTCTCTTCATTGTATTTATTCTGACTGTCGCTTGGTTCCTGCGTTGATCTTTTCTCCTTACTCTGACAGAAGGCAGTGCTTGTAAACCCTCTAGCCAGCTGACTTTCTCGCCCATGTGCAAGTCTATCATGGTTAAATTCAAGCTTCATTTGAGCAGCAGTAACAGAATGTTTGGAATTAACTACAGCCTTCTTGTCGATTTCTCTATTCAAAAGAAAACAGAACAAATATTAAAAGTCCAACATAATGTAATTTCAAAAAATCATCTTCGTGCATCATAGAGACAACATACTACATTTAAACTGCCACAACCATTTATCTTCATCCATCTGTTTGAGAATACTGAAAAGCATAAAGTAACAACTGTTTTTATTTCACAATGCATAATTTTTACCCACAATGTACCAATATTGAAATTCAGTTGTTACTGAATCCATGTGAAAACACCTTTTTACTACACTACACAAAGAACTTACATTTTTGCAGACACAGTATTTGCTATAATGTTTCCAATTAAAAAAAGAATTTTAATTGATTTTAATTGTAGTAGATTTTAAAAATTTCAAATAATTTTCATTTTACTTTGTTCTTTCATTACTTTTCTCTCTCTCTCAATTCAAGCATTATTTCTTCTTCGCCGCACCACCACCTCCCCCCACCCCACCCCCAACATTTCTTTCAGCTTGTGTACAATTTGGCATCAAGTTAAACATTCTAAATTACAGTGTGTCAGTTTGGTGTCTCCAATCAACTTGGTTAACAAGACATGCTGTTGCTTGCCCTGTTCTCATACTATAAATTTCATGGAGATGATGACATGCAGTTTTTTATTTCTAATGGCTGCAGGTTGCAGTGCAAAAGTACACTAAGTTTCAGTCTAAGTGTAATGAATGGCTACCTCTGTTTACTGCTGAAAGAAAAATCCAGGATATCATTTTAGCCTTCTCTTTCACAGCATTCCCAAAATAGTGTCACAGAAAGGAAGGCTTACTCTTTCGTATGAGCTACAGTGGTTTTTGATGGAGGTGGACTAGAATGTGAGGCCAATTTCAAGGGTCGATGAGGTTCAGCACTGGCAGGGCGTACCGGGTTGTGGCTTAGTAACCCCAGACTGTCAGCTGAGGACACACTGGTGTGCTGAGGTAGCCAAGGACTGGATGCATTCTGTTACAAAAACACAGATGGTTATACAAATAAACATTACATTCTCTGAAGTTGACTACACAATCTCTGAATGCAACTATTTGCTCACATGCAAATATAATGTATTTTTCACCGAATTAAAACAACAGTGACAGCTAAAATCATTTTAGAGATAGAAGAATCTCAAGAGTGCACAAAAGATCTAACCTCTGAAAAATAATTTAACTTCAATAACTAGTTATTAATTGTCTCATCCGAGCGGTTTCTCAACAAAGTTTTCACAAGTTAACTGTATAAATTCACTGAATCTGTTAGAAATCTCTAATCTCTGCCAAAGCCAGTAATATGATTACGAAAGAAAAAAAGAAATTCTCCTAGCAAACATTTATTCCAACAACAAGCAGGAATGGTCTCTATGAACATAAAAAGGGCATAAATATTATGAATTTGACCATGTAAACTGTCTCATTAATGTCATGTTACACCCCATTGTTAATGCATGTTGAAAGTAACAAAAAAACCCAAAAAACTCTTGATATTTATTTGTGTGAAAATTTATTTTCCCTCCTTCAAACGCATCATTTTGTGTCAGTGTGCTGGCAGAGGAGGGATGGAATGGGGGGAGTGAGAGGTAGAAAAAGAAAGAAAGAGAGAGATGGACAGATATTCTGCTGCCAAGCCTAAGCTAATTCTGAGGGGTTACACACTTTTCCCTCGAATTTTCTCAAGTTCAAGGACTTGATAAGATTGCTAAGAACAAAACTGTCTGTATTCAATGCCAATTCAAAAAAAGCACCTAATTTTCCAAAAAGTAAACATGTAACAAGTTGTCAGTTACGCTTCAACTCATTTTGAAACAAACAGATTTAGTTGAAATACCTACTTGATTGCCCAAAAAATGAACTACTCAAGCATGAGAAATGAACAGCGAAAAGTTGAGAAAAAAAGTGAGATGTTTGGCAAACAACCATGCAAAGATTTGACAGACCAGGAATTATTAAAATTGCAGAGTAATTCTGGATTTATTTCTCATCATTGGTAGTGTTCCTCTCAATAAACAGATTAATAATTTAGCAACTTCAGTGAATGTATAACTATGTCCAGCAGCACTGAACACTATTCTTCAAAATTCAAGTGAGATGACAACCAATTCAAATCCTCACACTTGCACTTTGTACAAGAAAGGAACGTACCCTCCTCAAAGAAGCTTCAGCACTCAGAGAGTTTTCAGGATGGACCCACTTAGATGAGGTCATACTCAACCCTGGAGACAAATGAGTGCCATTTGGATACTGCCAAATTATTGGATAGAGTCCAAGCTGGTTATAAGCAGCTGGATGGGTCTGGCCAAGGAGCTGAGATGACTGTTGCTGTAAAAACTGCTGATGGTGAGCCAGTGTTAAGGGGTTTAAATTTCTTACATGCACAGAATCTAAATGCCCACACACCAAAGGCCCCGGTGGAACTCCTGGTAAAACTGTAGGAAGATTGTGGGTAGAGTGAACTGAATGGGGTGATCCACTACTGAGAATATGAGCACTGCTTGACACAGAAGTCCGTGGTGAACCAGAAACATGATGCGATGCTGCCCTTAGGGCTGGATGAGAACTATTTGTGGTCAAGGAAGATGAATGTGATGAGGTATGAAGAGGATGAAGATGTGGGTGCAAGTACGGAGACAAAGGTTTAGCCCCTGTGTCAGGTCCAACCAAAGCTGGATCCCTGTAAACTGTAAAGCGCTCATTCTTATCAACAATTAAAGGGCTTTTTGTAGTTTCCATAACAGTCCTTGAGCCCAGATGTTGGAGGCTGGATCTTGAGTCATTTTTACATCTTGAAGTTGGCTTGGTGATACAAGCAGCTGGGCTGCAAGGATAAGTGATTTTAGGCTTCAGAGCATCAGGTGAAGTGTTAGTTTTATTTGGTTTATTGTTTTTGTTGGGAGCAGTGGGTTCTTGTCCTGAGGAACTAGCAGATTTTTCCTTTTCTGATCTGTTATTGGCTTCCATAACAGTCAAAAATTCAATGGCTTGAGATTTGTCTTCATTGATAATGTTGTTATTCAGATGCAGCTCTGCCTCTGATTTCTGAATGTCTGAAGCATGCTTGTTCACAATCAAATGCACTGGAGTACTGAAGTTCATTTCCAGGTTCCGAGATGTAAGGCCATGAGAATGGATGTTGGCAGTTTTATTAAGCAAATTGTCTGGTAAAGTTCTATTACTGATGTCAGATACAGAGTTCTGTACAGATGGCTTTTGCGTGGTATCTGGTAAAGATTCCAAAGACAAAGATTCACTGGTGGTTTTTACTTTTACAATGCACCCTTGACTTATTTCTTGTGATTTTATACTCTGTTGTTGACCAAACTCTGCTCTATGGGGGTCAATGTGCGCGTCAAAATGTTCTGGCTTCTGTATTCCATTGTCATTCTTTACCTCCTGCTTTTCATCACAGGGAGATGAGCTATCAATTTCCATCTGTTCCCCAATTCCTGTGTCATCCTGGGACTTGGCTTCATCTTTAGTGTTATCAAAAGTGATTTTATTTTTTAATTCTCCTTCTGAACTTTTCTCAGAGGAAGAATCCAAGATGACTTTGTTACTTGAGTTTTCAGACTCACTGCTTTCAGTATCCGAGTTAGAAACTGCTTTCAGTCTTTCTAAGGTTACTAGCTTTTCAACTTCTTCTTGCTTTCTCCTTTTATTAACAGACTGCTTTATTTTGTTCTTTGAAGATTCTGTGTGAAATATGAAATAGATTACATTAGATTCATAAAATTTTACAGAAGAGAGGGAGGCCATTTGACCCATTGTGGCTGTATCAGCTTCTGAAAGAGCCACCCATCGAGCCCCGTTCTCCAGCCCTAACTCAGTAGCTCAATAAATTAATCATTTTCAAATATATATCCAGCTCTCTTCAGAAACCTCCTATGGAATCCACCTCCACCACTCTCCCAGGCCGCGCATTCCAAACTTAACAACTCTCTTAGTAAAGGAGATTCCCTCATCTCACTCTTAGCTCTCTTGCTGACAGTCCTGAAATGATGACCCCTTAGTTACTGTTATACCAACCAGTGGAAACAGAACATCCTTCTCTATTCTGTCAAAAATGTTCCTAATTTTGAACACCTCAACAAAGTCACCTCTTAATCTTCTCTGCTTTCAGGAGAATAAAGAACAAAAGAACAGTGCAGCATAGGAACAGGTGCTTTGACCCAACCAGCCTGAGCCAAAACATGGCACTTTTCTAAACTAAAAACCTTTTGCCTCTACATGTCGGTATCCCTCTAATTCCTGCCCATTCGTGTATCTGTCAAGATGCCTTTTAAACATTGTTATTGTATCTGCTTCCACCATCTCCTCTGGCAGCATACTTACCACCCTCCATGTAAAAAGTTCCGCCTTTTACCTTAAACCTACGTCCCCTAGTAATTGACATTCCTATTGTGGGGAAAAAGACTCCGACTAACCATTCCTATCGAATAATTTTGTAAATTACTATCAGGTCACCACTCAGCCTTCAATAAGTTTGTCCAATGACTCCTCTAAACCAGAAACATCCTGGTAAACTTTTTCTGCACCCACTCCAAAACCTCTTTCTGGTAATGCGGCAATGAGAACTCTACACAATATTTCAAACGTGGCCTAACTAAAGTTCTATACAGCTGCAACATGACTTGCCAATTTTTAGACCCTATGCCCCGACAAATGAAGGCAAGCATGCCATACACCTTTTTGATCACCTTTATCCACTTGTGTTGCCACTTTCAGGGAACTGTGAACCTGTACGCCTAGATCCCCTGTATGTTAATGCTTCTTAGAGTTCTGCCATTTACTGTATACTTCCCTTCCGCATTAGACCTTCTAAAATGCATCACCTCACATTTGTCCCATTAAATTCTATCTGCCATTTCTCTGTCCAAGTTACCACCACAAGTCCATATCCCACTGAATCCTCTGGCAATCGTCCTCTCTATCCGCACGTCCCCCAATCTTTGTGTCATCAAACTTACTAATCAGATCACTTAAATTCTCCTTCAAATCATTTACATATATTACAAACAACAGGGGTCCCAGCACTGATCCGTGCAGAATGTCACTGGTCACAGATCTCCAATCAGAAAAACACCGTTCCACTGCTGCTCTGTCTTCTATGACCAAGCCAGTTCCGTATCCATTTCACAAGCTCACCATGGATCCCATGTGACTTCACTTTTTGTATCAGCCTACCATAAGGGACCTTGGCAAAGGCCTTGCTAAAATCCATATAGACAACAGTCACCACCCTGCCCTCGTTAATCATTTTGTCACTTCCTCAAAAAACTCAATCAACGTTGCGAGACACAACCTTGCCTGCACAAAGCTATACCGTCTATTGCTAATAAACCCACATTTTAACAAATGCGAGTAAATCCTATCCCCAAGATTCTTCTCCAATAATTTCCCGACCACTGATATTAGGCTCACTAACCTGTTATCTCCTGGTTTCTCTCTGTTGCCCTTCTTAAACTTAAAGGAACAACTGTGGTCATTTTCCAGTCCTTTGGGACCTCTCCTGTGACTAAACACAATATAAGGCTTTCATTCAAGGCCCCAACAATTTCCAGCCTCAGTATTCTGGGATAGACCCCATCCGGTCCGGGGAGTTGTCTACTTTAATGCCTGTCAAAACACCCAACATCTCCTTTCTTACACTGATACGCCCTAGAATCATTGACCTCTCTAGACTCATCATCGACCACGTCCATCTCCATTATGAACACCAATGCAAAGTATTCATTAAGGACCTCATCCACTTTCTCCAGCTGGATGCATAAATTCCCTCCTTTGTCCTTGAGTCGACATATCATTTCTCTAGTCTCCGTCTTCCCCCTTATGTACAAAACACGGAGATTTCCCTTAATCCTGTTTGCCAAGACATTTCATGGTCTTTCTCAGCCTTCCTAACTCCTTGTTTAAGTTCTTTCCTGCTTTCTTTATATTGTTCAAGAGCCCTGTCTGTCTTCAGTTTCCGAAACCTTACGTATGCCTCCTTCTTCTTTTTGACTAAGCTCACTATTTCTTTGTCAACCAAGGTTCCTAAATCTTGCCACCCTTATCCTTCATTTTCACAGGAACATGCTGGTCCTTAATTCTAATCAACTGGCCTTCAAAAGATTCCCATATGGTAGATGTGGATTTACCCTCAAACAGCCACCCTCTATCGATATTCCCCAGTTCCTGACTAATATTGTCATAGTTAGCCTTCCCCCAATTCAGAACTTTCACCCGAGGACTACTTTTATCCTGATACACAAGGAACTTAAACTTACGGAATTATGGTCACTGTTCCCAAAATGCTTCCCCACTGAAACTTCAATCACATGGCTGGGATCATTCCCCAGTACCAGTTCCAGTATGGTCCCTTCCCGAGTTGGACTATTTACATATTGCTTCAAGAAACCCAATAAGCCCAATTTCACTGATCTTCCCTTGTATCTAAAATCCCTCCGTCCTGGTATCATTCCAGTAAATCTCCTTTGCACTTTCTCCTAGACTTTAACATCCTTCCTTAAATAAGGTGTACAGAACTGAACACAATACTCCAAATGTGGTCCAACCAATGATTTGTAGGGGTGTAGCATCGCTTCCTTGCTTCTATGCCTCTATTTTTTTTTAAGCCAAGGATCCAATAAGCCTTCTTAACAACTGTTTCAAATTGCCTGGTCACCTTCAGAAAACTATGTACGTGAACCCCGAGGTCCCTCTGTCACTGTGCTCCCTTCAAAGTTGTACCATTAAGTCTGCATTGCCGTTCTACATTTCTTCCACCAAAATGCATTACCTCACATTTCTCTGCACTGAAATTCATCTGGCCAACTTGGCAATGTTTCTCTGAAGCCGCTCAGCATCATCTTCACAATTCACTATTCTTCTTAGCTTAACATCATCTGCAAATTTAGAAATTTTGCCCTCAACACCCATCTCCAAATTGTTTATTCAAATCAGAAAAAGCAACAGTCCCAGCTTCAATCCCTGGGGAATACCACTTTCAACTAATCTCTAGTCTGAGAAATGCCCATCTAAAACTACACTCCATTTCCTATCCTTCAGCCAACTTCTAATCCGTGCTGCCAAGGTCCTGTTAATCCCAAACATTTCTAATTTGCTTATCAACCTGTCTTTTTGCTCCGTATTGAATGCCTGCTGAAAGTCCAAATACGCAACATCCACAGCACTACCCTTATCCATTGCCTTTGTCACCTCTTCAAAGAATGCAATTAAATTTGTCAGACATGACTGTCCGTAACAAAGTAATGTTGACCTTCTAGTACTAAATTATTTTTCTCCAAGTCTATACTTATCTCGTATTATGGTCTCTGTCAGTTAGCCACTGTTGATGTCAAGCTGTGAGGTCTGTAATTTCCTGAGTTATCCTCTGCCCCTTTCTTAAACAACGGCATCGCATCTGCAATCCTCCAATCCCCCAGGACTAATTCAGTATTCAGAGGGGCCTGGAAAATTTCTGTCAACAGCTAGGCAATTTGCTCCCTTACCTCTCTCACAATCTAGCATGCATCCCATCCACGCTGATCACTCCTCTACCTGGAGTGTTGCCAGCCTTTTTAGCACCTCTTCTTTATCTATCACAACACAGCTCAGTTACTTGAAACCCGCATTTTCAACTGGGCCTTTGTCACCATTTTCTATTTTGAGAGGGACAGAAGCAAAGTGTTCATTAAAACCCTTGCCATACCTTTTTGCCTCAGTGAGCAGTTCACTCTGCTTGTTCCTGTTATTCCCCACTCTATTGTTTGCAATCTTTTATTGTTAATATGGTTGAAGAACATTTTACTACTTGTTTTAATGCAGCCTGCCATCCTTTCCTTGTGCTTCCTCTTAGCCATCCTTATTCAAGCCTTCATCTTGTTCCTGCATTTGAGATACTCTTCCGGATTTCTACTGCAATATTATTATTGTTTGGCATCATATGCTTCCTTTTTCTTTATTTTCTCATCAATATCGTTAGTCACCCAGGGTGTTCTAACTTCGGATATTCTAGTTATTCTCACGGGTATGTAGCTGGCTTGAACCCTATTCATTTGTCCTTTGGAAGTCTCTCATTTTTCATCCACCGTTCGAGCTACCAAAATGCATTTCCAATCATATTAATTAATATTATTCCCAGCTGCTACAGTTCATATATTTGCACCGTGAAAAGAAACAATGAAAATAAAACGAAGCAATTTTTACCTTCTTTTAAAGGATTTTCACATTTGTCCTCCTTTATCTTATCTTCATCTGGTATACTGCTATCAGATTCTTTCCTTTTGTTTGAACGAATGATCCTTTGCTGATGCTGATTCTGCTTTCCTGATGTGGTCTGGGAATTCATCACCGGTCGTGGACTATTGGCTTGTGCACGTGTATAATGACCCTGAACATGATCAAATAAACACTGTTACATTTTGCACAGAAATTGTTGCAATGTTTTTTTTAAGGCTACGATAAACTTCAAAAATGATAAAGTGCATAACATTTGAGTATAAAATTGCATTTGAGTGGCAATAGAAATGTTTTCTTCTATGTGCATTCTCTTTTGTTGCAATCCAGTTGAAAATATTGAACAATATAAAACTACAATATTTCAGATAAGCAAGAATCTGAAATATATGAAAAAGGAAATTCGAAAAAAGAAAGCAGCCAGTTAGAAGATTAGTCATTTGAACACAGATACTATGCTCTGGCCAGCAACAATTTCCAACAGAGCAGAGAAAAGGGATGGCCATAAGCTGGAGAAAAAAGATGAAGCAAGGAAGCAGAGGGAGACACTCAGGAAAGTAGACATATTGCATTTGTCCAAAAACATCCAAAAGATAAAACTCTTAAAATGCTGAGTCATTTAACTGGATTTAGAGTATGCACAGTGAGTAAAAAAATTGGAAGGATGTCTTGTGTGCAAGAGGTAATAATCCAATTAGGGGTTAGCACCACAGAGATTAACCATACAAACCCAGAACACTTATACAAAATCAACTCAAAATTTAATGGTGGGGTCCAAAGATAATGATTTTGGGCATACTTCCAAGTGATGAATAACGACAATTTGATTATGGAAATCAATGATGTAAGCAAATGGCTCACAATCTGGTTTAGTAGTAATGACTTAATTTTCACAAATAATTGGGGTGACTTCTCCCAGGATAAAAATAATTGGTTAGGAAAGAAAAGATTGGCTATACTTCATCAAAATGAGAATGACAAGGGCAGCAAGAAATTTAGGATATTGAAAATCAGAAACTAGATTAAGGGGATAGAGGCTAGAAATGTTGGAAGACAAGAAATCTTAAACAGCATTGATAAAGGAGCTGCTGTTAGATAATCAGGAGCTTAGTAACTCAGACGAATACTCAACCTGCTTTCAGCAGGCACTTGAAATCAGATATAAACTTCCATTAAGCTGCATACTTGGTCCTAGAAGAATCTGTAATAAAATGGCTAAACTTTAAGCTACCATACTTGAAGGAAACTCGAACATAATTGGGATAACAGAAATATAACTTCCTGAATGGGCAAAGAGAAACAACTAAGACTATAGTAAGTTGAGGAAGAATGAAATATAGACAGAGAAGGAAATAAGAAAGCATGAACTTGAATTTAAACAGCATCTTTCATGTTCTTAATATATTCTAAACTACTTCACAGCCAGTGCAGTGCTTTGTAAAATGCAGACACCGCTGCATTATATGAAAACACAGCAGCTAATTTCTGCATAAAAATATCCCACAAATAGCAACGAGCACAACGAACAGACAATTATTTCAATGAAGCTTGTTGAGAGATAAATGCAATGAAGGCCAAGTGTTCACTGTTTCCTTAAATGTATCATGAAAATTGTTGCCTGAGACAGTGGAAGAGCCTGTTTCATCTGAAACATGATACATCTCACAATGCAGCACTCTGTCAATATTGGACCAAAATATCAATTTAAAATCATGCCCTCGCTTCTTTCAAGTGGAGCCCAAATCCATGACCTTCTGTGTTAAAGGCAAGAGCAGAACCAATGAGCTAAAGTTCACATCAGAGTAGTGCAAACGCTTTTTTCAACAAATAATGTGGACTGCTGTGGGAGTAGGCTCAAACAAAAGTGGAAAATAATTTCTTAAAAAATGTTTGTTTTCATACACAGAACGCAAGTATCACTGAATACGACTATACATTATCAGGTCAAATTAGGGAGAGTTGCTGCTCTATGTTAAATTTATAATATGAAAACAGCAAGATTTTATTAACGGGGGTTTCAACCAACACAGATATAAATTGGGAATGACAAAATGACTGAGAATCAGAATTTTGAAAAAGTAATAAAATGTAATGATTCACAGCAAGTGAGGATGTCAAAAAAGCTAAAAGAACCACTTTTCAGATTAATTGGAGATGGAGGTGAAACTCACAAATTTCAAGAGAAAGGAGGTTATGACATCCTTGAGTGATAGCAATCTTAATATGATTCAATTCAATGTGATTTAGGATTCAACACTGTTAAAGATCAACATCCAATTGCAGAGCTCTAAAGTGGACCACAAAAGCATGAGGGCATAGAAACCAGTACACAGGTGAATATCACTGGAATACTTTCACAGACACTAAGCAACTGACAAGATAAATTGATGCCCATGACAAAAAAAAAGAAATTGTCATAAAGCACAACTTAACAAGGATTAACAAGGGCAACACAGTGGCTCAGTGGTTAGCACTGCTACCTCACAGCACCAGGGGCCTGGGTTCAATTCTAGTCTCGGGCGACTGCCTGCGTGGGAGTTTGTACGCTCTCCGTGTCTGCATGGGTTTCCACCGGGTGCTCCGGTTTCGTCCCACAGTCCAAAGATGTGCAAGTTAGGTGGATTAGTGTTAAATTACCCATAGTGTTCAGGGATGTCAATGTTAGGTGCATTAGCCATGGGAAATGCAGGGTTACAGGCACAGAATAGGGGGATGGGTCTGGGTGGGATGCTCTTCAGAGGGTTGGTGTGAACTTGGGCCAAATGGCCTGTTAACACATTGAGGGGATTCTATTAATAAGATACCAAAGCTAAAGTAACACATTTTGCAAAGCCCATAAGGAGAAGGCAGTGGTGTTCTACATAAGCTTGACTGCAAGGTGACCATAAGCACAGTTGCTAAACACAGTTGACAAAAATTATTCCGTAACATTGCACTTGGGAAGAGGCAAGAACCTTAATGGCCAAGACTGGAATAAACAGAGAATAGCTGATGTATCCAAACGATTAGTCAATGTATTTATGTAATGTATTTATACTCATTTTTATTAACAGAGAATTATGGATTTTGGCATTAATAATGGTGAAATCCTAGAGAAGTATAACAGCTTGAAACAAAAAGAATCCATGGGAACAGAATCTCAATTAGAATTATGGAAATGTAATGGGCAAATATCTAAACACTTGTAATCAACATGAGAGATTACTCATGTTTGGGAGGTTCCATTAGATTTTAAATAAGGTCATGAACACACACATGGACATGAAAAATGGACAAGTATTTATTGCAACTCGAGCCCGATCAATAACTAGTAAAATAATGGAATTCATCAGCTGCAGATTTAATAATAATAGTATCATAAACAGCCAAACTGATTTATAAAGCATAACAATCCAAACTTCTCAAATTCTTCTGAGGAAGTGCCATCCCAAATTAATTACAAAAAAAAAACCCTTAAACAAAACATCTAAGATTTTCAAACTGTTTTTAATCAAAAAGTCTCACAAATGGCTGAATGTAAAACCTGAACACAGTGAGAATTTAAAGCAAAACCTACATTCATATCAAGGGAATAAAGGTGATTTGGAATTTACAATCTAGATTTAAGTTATCAATTTGAAATCGAGCAATGCAATCACAATAGGTTGAATCTCAGACATGAAGGAACTGGTGCAAAACAAAGAAATAAAATACAATTCCTGAATCCTTCACTGCATTAAAGAGCAAAGTGATTTGCATTTTAAGTGGAAAATCATGGAGCCCTATTTTTCTAAACACACTGTGTCTAATGTCCACAGAAACAGAACTGCAACAGCAACATCTTATATCTGTACAGCATCAATTACATAATAAAGCATCTCAAACCGTCACATCGTCTGATGAACAAGGCACATGAGTTGAGGGCACAAATTAACACATGGGAAATGATGTCATCATGGTCACTTAGAGGAGCAGTCCAATATTCCAGAATATAGGGTCTTTAGGTGTGACAGCAAAAGAGGTAAAAGAGGAGGGGCTGTTACAACATTGATCAGGCAATCTATTACAGCATTAAATATGGATGACATCCCAAAAGGATCCTCAAATGAAACCAGAGATAGTAGGAACTGCCAATGCTGGAGAAACTGAGATAACAAGGTGTAGAGGTGGATGAACACAACAGGCCAAGCAGCATCAGAGGAGCAGGAAAGCTGACGTTTCGGGTCAAGACCCTTCC